TGGCAAGTCACTGGCCATAATCCGCCAAAAAGGCCGATTTTAAGCCATTTTTGCCAAATTTGGCAACTTCTTGGTGACAATTTTGTTATGAAATGGTCAAATTCAGATTCAGCGCCAAAAATTACATAGGAAACCATGGAATTAATGCTGACCTGTGTTTTTGGAGGCTAAAATTTCTATCCGCCCGGACTCAAAAAGCGTCGTCGCTCCATAAAGCTGTTTACAAAAATGATGATACCTCGCGAATCAAAAGTTTTCCAGCGAGCTATAATATATCGATGGATGCGTAATCGAACGAACTATCGATTGAACAACTTTTTACTCAAATTTGAAGATAGTTTTTTGGGTATTTGCGGATTTGTAAAATTAGTCGAATTAAAAAATCGAAAAATTGGCAAAGATGCATGTTAAAATTAATGTGACATTAAATTGATGGCCATTTCCTAAAAGTACGCAATTTTTAGAGAATTTTCGTTAAAACCGCAACTTCATAGCTCAATTTTAACGCCACTTACGGAATTTGCCTGTTTCCAACTTGGCAACGCTGTAGCGCGCGGGAAAAATTTCGGGTGAACTTGTCAACGCCGGAAAAAGGCGTGTCTTATGATAGGGAGCAACATATCCAACTCCGGGCAAAATCCAAGAGGGGGGTAAAATCGCCGATCTTGTATAACCCTCTTTGTAATCGATGCAGCTCGAACGCAAAATGGTGTATTAAAATGGAAGAACATTTTTGCCCATACATATGCGTATAGGGCCCGTGAAGCGGGCCTGAGGGCGCGAGGCGCCCTCCCGGGGGTTGGGCCGCGTAGTGGTCAGGGGGCAGGGCCCCCTAGTAATAGTATAATAGTGTAATAGGACCGACGGTTAAATTCGGTAATATTTCTCCAGCCCCCCCACTTTTGACCCCCCGGTAGCTCCCCTATCGTAAGGGTACAAAACTTTTTTCGAACGGTACATTTCGGCACTAAACTAGTACTATATAAAGGAGTAAAGAAACATTCTGATGTGATCACCCGGGGCACAGAAACGGCCCGTTCAATACTGCCACGGGCAGGGGGCCATGGCGGGGGTGTTCCCCCTGGGGGAGGCTTTACGGTAAAAAAAGTGCGGTTTTTTCGACGGTACATTTCGGTACAAAACTCCCAGTATACATCCTGAGGGTTTTCGAGTACGAAAGTCCGTTTTTTCGAAAATATTTCTCCAGTCCCCCCCACTTTTGACCCCCCCCCCCCNCCCCCCCCCCCCCCCGTAGCTCCCCTATCGTAAGGGTACAAAACTTTTTTCGAACGGTAACATTTCGGTACAAAACTAGTACAAAACTTTGGCGATAAAAAGGAGTAGAATTTTGGAGGTGGAGGGGCTTAATTTCTCCAGCCCCCCCCCCTCCTGCGCTTTAATTGTGCGTACTTTACATGATGGGTACTAAACTTTTTCTTTGTGGTACATTTGGATACAAAACTAGTACAAAACTTTGTCGATCTTGAATTTTAATTTTGGGGAGGTGGGGGGTCTAGAGAAATGGACATAGTGACATTTGCACTCACAAGGTGCCATATTTGCATAAATTTGAAACCTGAGAATGGTTGTTTTACAATTATTAAGTAGAATTTTCTTTCAATAGTTGACTGCCGCAATGCAGCCGTAGGCCACCAGTTATTTATATTCTAGAAGAGAGTGTCCGTAAAGATAACTAGAGTTGGAACGGAAGGTAAAAGATCCAAGTTCAAATGAGACCTCTGCACATGATCCTACAACAGTTTATAATGTGTGTACCTGTACATTTCACCCCTTAGAAATGTAATTTTCAACTCGAGAAAGATCAGTAAAAGAGTATGCAGTTCTCTTAAGTTTGTCCTTGTGTGTGTGTGTGAGGGTGTATGAGGGTGCGTATGTATGTGTGTGTATATTCTGACAACATCCCCTGATAAAGTACCATGTCCAATTCTATCAGATTGAGGATCTGAGAGACTGTACTGCTCTTTTTGTCGCTTGCCCCAAGAATACTCATCAACGAAGCCCACCCCAGTAGCCAAAATACGATTTATAATACCTATCAATTTGAATATTATATAGCTGAAAATTGTTATGAAAAAATGTTTTAAAATATCTTCTTTTTAAGGTATAAACTCCCGTTTAGAATAGGTTGAATAAAAAAGCCTTAGCAAGAAGGGATATAGTGCAAGTTGTTGATAGGTACTTTAAAAGTGAAGAACCAAAAATTTAGTGCTGAAGGGCGATAAAAATTGATGAATGAGCTTTCACATGGTTAATCATAGTCACAGTTGGATACACTGCGATAACGTAGCAAAAGAGCAGCATAACCAAAAAATAGCAGGTAGCAGGATAGGAGTAGAGAGCGGATAGCCAATCACGTGAAATCTCCGATTATTACAATGCATTGTGGGTGCTACGGAGGCTGTAAAATTAACCGCTATCTTTTTTTCAAGGTAAAAGTAGCAGTGAACCCACGGAGTGATTTATCACTGGTTAACCTAAAAAAGAGAATTTAACTTTAAAAAACATGGCCTAATGATGAAAATTGAAAGCTATAAAAATATTCACCTGGCTAATCACTGCGAGAATTTTTTAAAGTTAAATTCTCTTTTTTAGGTCAACCAGTGATAAATCACTCTGAGACTTCACTGCTACTTTTACCTATGACTTACAGATCGCTCAGGAAATGATGTTCTTGTGGATTAAACAGTGATAATAAAATATTACAGTATCACTGTATCCACTAAAAGTGATTTGAGAAGAACAAGTGGTTTTTAGGAGTTCTGTAGAAAATCAGTGGTACTTTTAATTTTGATGTAGAAAGCATTTCAGAAAAATCGTCTGCTCAGGTTAAGCTGTGATAAATCACAGCATAACTGCCACCTGCTACTTTTAACCTGTGATCCAATCAGAGACAACGAACGGTTGGAAAAGGCGGCATTTCTAGGTTATTCCGTGAAAAATCACTGCTACTTCTCACTATGATTTTTGAGTAGCAGTAACAGTGATCCTGTTACCAAAAAGTAGCCGTGAAGCACAAGCCTACTTGTGTAAAAAATAATCACGCAGTTGAAAGATATTAGGTACCTCCTCCCCCCCCCCCCCCCGTGAACGATTTTCCTTCTCATGCTGTCCAAGGATCATAATGATCAGACCACTGTATTGTATGTTCTCATCAGTGGGTCATCTTGGTAAGCTAAATAATCAATAGATCATGAACACATGCAGCTATCATGACCCTACGTCTTCTAAAAAGTCCTTCCTGAGTGAGATTTAATGTTTCTGAACCCAGTTTTGTCATGATGGTTTAAATGCCTTCATTTATTACTATTTTTAAACCCAATGTAAATTCTCTCTTGATTTTAATCTGTGGAAGCTCTTTGAAAAATTATACAGGGTGTTCGAAAAGTCCCCTCCCCCCCCTCTAACTTTCGACCTAATTGAGGTAGAGATTTGAAACTTGGAGGGTGTTCCTAGATCAAAGGGAGCTACTTTTTGACCCCCTCAAAATTTTTGGGGGGGGTTACGGACCCTAACTTTTTTTCAAATGGGAAGACCCCCTTTGTGATACCTCGTCCGAAAGAGCATAAAAAAGAAAAATTTTCGCGCAAACCCGAAGTCATTATCTCAAACCGTTTCAAAATGGCGGCCGGTCAAAGTTCAAAATGGCCGAAAATTGGCACCTCTGCTATTTGCGCATGGATTTGCTTGAAACTCGGTATCTGGGGGTATTTTGGCACAAGAAAAACGAATTTGACGTTAGATTTTTTAAAAAAAAACCCAATTTTTCAAAATGGCCGCCGGTTTAGGCTCGAAATTTTGACAAACTCGATTTTTTGCCGATGGATTCACCTGAAATTCGGTATCAGGGGGTATTTTGACCCGAGAAGAACGAATTCGACGTTAGATTTTTAAACAAACCCTCATTTTTCAAAATGGCCGCCGGTTTAGGCTCGAAATTTTGACAAACTCGATTTTTTGCCGATGGATTCCTGTTAAATTTCAAGCTTCAGCTTCAGGATTCTCAGCTTATCGTTTTTCTCCCACCCAGATACCCCTAAACATCGAGTTTCAGGCGAATCCATCGGCAAAAAGTCGAGGTTGCCAATTGTTGACAATTTTGAACTTTAATCGGTGGCCATTTTGAAAAATGAGGGTTTGTTTACAAATCTAACGTCGAATTCGTTCTTCTCGGGTTAAATACCCCCAGATACCGAATTTCAGGTGAATCCATCGGCAAAAAATCGAGTTTGTCAAAATTTCGAGCCAAAACCGGCGGCCATTTTGAAAAATTAGGGTTTTTTTAAACATCTAACGTCAAATTCGTTTTTCTCGTGCCAAAATACCCTGAGATACCGAGTTTCAAGCAAATCCATGCGCAAATAGCAGAGGTGCCAATTTTCGGCCATTTTGAACTTTGACCGGCCGCCATTTTGAAACGGTTTGAGATAATGACTTCGGGTTTGCGCGAAAATT